GACTCAAGCATGGCAACAGTAGTGAGGTTGGCCCAGGATTGGGCAGTGTTTCGTTCTGCTGTGCATAACGTCGCTATGGGTCGGTACCGACTCGATGGCACCTAACAACAACAACAACAACATAAGAAAGAACCCTTGAAATTAACCAATCCAACACCAACTTTCTGAGAGAATATTCTTTAAACCATTTGTATCCTGAAGGTCTATGCCTTTGCCCTCTGTTTAGAGTTTGGAGATAGAGTAAAATTTAGCATATAATTCTTCCAACCCCCAGCCCTCTTTCTACCCACCCACCACCCACCATTGTTTTTCATAATCTTTCTCAGGTTTCTACATTAGAACTAGATACAGTTGTTGTTCAGTGCCATCAAGGCAGTTCTGACTCATAGTGACCCTGTATAGGGTTACTGATGAGCAGCTGGTGAACTTGAACCACCAGCCTTTTAGTTATCAGTCTAGTGCTTATCATACAGCACCACACCAGGATCCCTTCAACTAGATTGTTGTCATTAAGCGCTGTTGAAGATTCCGACAGAGAAAGATTTTTTACAAGAGTAAAGTGGCTGAAGACTGAGTTGGTAAACTGTTGAGGAATACATTTCAGCCAAACTTTGGGCAACTATATTTGCTTCAACCCAGAATTATTCATCAGGATGTATCCTGAGGCCCTGTTATTTGCTTGGGTATAGATACTTAATTCTTTTGGAGTCTCTAGACATCCTTCTTAATTATTCTAAAGCTAAAGTGGCTGATAATGCCTATATTGTAACCATGAAAAGGGACAAATGCTTGCAGAAGTTGAATACTTGCAGAAGTTGACCATACAGATAAGAAATGAGGCATGAAAAGATCGTTTAGTGGATTAAGAAGCATTTTAGAAATTCTCTCCTGTTTCAGCAGTTTACATTAGTGTTCCCTAGAACTTGTAGGTATAATGGCTGCAGAGTTTCCTTGAGCTTTTGTAGCCTCGAGGTTGTAGAGGGAAGCTAGTATGGTCTGGTGCTGCAGGATCATACAATGGACCACAAGGTCTGTTTTAACAGTAGGCTTACTGGTTCAAACCCATCAGCTGCTCCTCAGAAACCATAGACAGAACTGAGTTGGAACCAACTCAAGGGCACTTAACAACAGTATGCCTAAGGAAGACTATAGAAGAATCTAAGCATTTGAATTATGGTGTTAGAGAAGAATTTTTAAAGTGCCATAGTGTGAGAACTGCCAACCTTGTGGCTGAGTAGGAATTAGACATTTGTAGATACGCAGTATTTCCTATGCAAAAAGATAAGAGAGTATGTGGCTGCATTAGCTTTACATGAATTACAGAAGGTCTATGCAGGAGATAGACTTGCAAGGAGCTCTGGTAGCATTGTTTGCAGGAGATAGACCTACAAGGAGCTCTGGTGGTGTAATGGTTACTAATCGTGCTGTGAACCTCAAGGTCAGCAGTTTAAAACTACCAGCTGCTTCATGGGAGAAAGATGAGGCTTTCTGCTCCCATAAAGATTTACAGCCGCAGAAACCCTATTCAGGGTCGCTATGGTTGGGACCGACTCGGGCACGTAACAATAACGACAGTATGCAGCTTTGTATGGACTCCTGGTGTGGCACTGTAGTGTCAGTACTGGACTGCAAATCACAAGGTTGGCAGTTCAAACTCACCAGCTGCCCCTCAGAAACACTATACAGGCTCACAATGAGTCTGAAGTGACTCAGTGGCACTTAACAATGACTTGCAGCTTTGAGGAGTCCTGGTGTAATGCTGTGAGATAAAACACTGAAACTAAACCCAAGGTCCGTTTGATTCAGAAGGTCCCTTCAAACTCACCAGCTGTTCTTTGGAATCCCTATACAGGGTTGCTGTGAGTTTGAATTGGCTTGACGGCACTGAACAACAGTGCATCTTTGACGTATTTTTATTGGGTAATATGTCAAGGAGGTAGCGTAGTGGTTACAAATTGGGCTGGGAACCGCAAGGTCAGCAGTTCGAAACTACTAGCCGTTCCGTGGGAGAAAGATGAGGCTTTCTGCTCCCATAAAGATTTACAACCTCAGAAACCCTGTACAGGGTCGCTATGGGTTGGAACCGACTCGACAGCACTTAACAACAACAACAACAATGTCAAGATTTCAAGCTGTGTGTTTGTATCATGAGTTGGGGTAGCTTAAGGAAATAAATATAGAAGAGAAATCCAGAGAGGTCAGTAGTTCAATTTTTGAAGCTTTTTTTGGCAGGGGGGGGGGGAGGGCGCGGGTGGTGAGGAAGGAGGGAATCCTTGGAGAATAAAATAAATTGTTACATTATTGTTTTGTTTGTCCCACTTTTGACAAACTATTACATCCATTTGCAATCATTTTCTATGCTCCGTGAACAACCAACATTCTTCCCAGCTCTGTCTGACCTGTAGACTGGGTGTTGATATGTTTTCAACTGGAACTTTCTGGCCTATACAAAAGTACTAGTGGATCCCATTACTGATGCAAGAAACTGCAGGCTTGTTTCCAGAACAAAGAAACGTGCCCAGGAATTCAGGAAGCTTTGTTTTCTGAGTAACTGGAAGGAACAAAGGAGTCTGCCTTGCTGCCACTGGCTGTTAGAGCTGCAAATCCTGTCCAAGAAAAATCCTTTAAGAGAACCCCCCCACCCCCATTTTTTAAATGTAGAGCAAAACAAGGTGGTGCTTAAGCTTACATTTTAATGCTAATTAGATGGAGGCTCTGGTAGCTTGGTGGTTACTAGTCAAATCAGGCTTCAGACCTCAAGGTCTCCCTGCGGATCACAGTGCTCCAACCTGCACAGGCTCATGGGGATGGTGCAGAACTAGGCAGTGTGTTGTTGGCTTTTCAATGAGTTGGGGGTCGGCTCAACAGCAGCTGACAGCAACAGTGCTAATAGCAAATGGAGGTGTATTTGGAGCCTTGGGTTTCTGCAGAGCTAGATCTGTCTACCACTAATGTGGCGATCAGTACAGTAGTAATACTACCAATAACCTACCAGCCTGTCTGAAAAGTGACTGTTTTGTTTTCCTCCCAAGCTATGACCTAGGCATAGAGAATCGTGATGCCACCAATGACCAGGTCACCAAAGATGCTGCAGAAGCCATAAAGAAATACAACGTAGGTGTCAAGTGCGCTACTATCACCCCCGATGAGAAGAGGGTTGAGGAGTTCAAATTGAAACAAATGTGGAAATCGCCAAATGGCACCATCAGAAATATTCTGGGTGGTACTGTCTTCAGGGAGGCCATCATCTGCAAAAATATACCACGGCTTGTAAGTGGATGGATAAAGCCCATCATCATAGGTCGTCATGCGTATGGGGATCAAGTAAGTCCTTTTGGTAAAATCTCATTTTGTATTTTCTTTGTATCATAGCCTTTGACTGCCTGACAGTTCCAAATTGTATGTGTTTTATTCTTATCTTTTGGTGCCTACGCCCCATTAAGTATGGTGTAAAATTGAAAATATGTGTACAAGTATGTGCATCTGTGTTGTTAAGTACTGTGGAGTCGGTTCCGACTCATAGTGACCCTGACAGGGTTTTCGAGGCTGTAAATCTTTAGGGGAGCAGAAAGCCTCATCTTTCTCCCGTGGAATGTCTGGTAGTTTCAAACTGCTAACCTTGAGGTTAGCAGCCCAATTCATAACCACTATGCTGTCAGAGCTCCTTGTACATCTGTGTTACTTGCCTGTATTTAAATATAATCTTGGTGTATTGCTGCTGGGTAATGCACTGGACTACAAGGTTGGTTTCAATTGTAAGGTTGGTGGTTCAAACTCACCAGCCGCTACTTGGAAACCTTATACAGGATCACTACGGTCGAAACTGACTCAACAGCATTTAACAACAGTAACAACAACTATAAGCAAATACAGATTAATTTAGATCGGCAGTCATCTCAACACACATTTTTCTTAAACATCTTTTTGTTTGTTCTTGTTTTTGTTCTTGTCCTTTTATTAGGGAAAACCATATGATATTACTGTATTTTTAATTGGCACTTTGATATGATTCAACATAGTATTTTGATCAGCGGTTCTCTACCCTTGCACAATTGGGTCCCTTTAGAAGTTTCTTCGCAGGAGGAAAAGTTTATTTGTTTGTTTTACTTTTTTTGTTTCTTTGTTTTAATTCCAATGCCCCAGTTAAGTCTAAATTTCCAGAGTGGTTCAGGCATTTAAAAATGCAAATAGGATTGAGAACCACCAAAGATTATATTCAACATATTCACTTCATGCATAAAAGGAAAAACTGTCTTAGTGACTTGAAAGCATTCTGTTTAAAACATCCCTTTCTACTTAGAGTTAAAAACAAACAAGGTGCTGTGTTTGAACCCCTACAAAAGTAGGCTCACTGCCAGATGAAACAGAAAGACTGCTGCCACACACAATCCAAACTGTATTAATACTGAGGTTTCAGACTATCGTAGAAAGCAGTCTGTCATGTGTTAAAAGGAGTTTTGAAAACAGGATCCCCTGTTGTTGAAATCCAGATGTAGCAATCCTTGGAAGCAGCGTGGTTGTCTGTTTCTGGTGCCAAGGTCTCAGGGTCAGTCCTGGGAAGGGCCAGTTAATTTTGTACCACCCATGGCAACCCAAACTATTCATTCTCTCATCCTGGCCAGCCCCTCATGGACACCTCCCAGAGGCCTAGGCTAGGGCATGCAGATGGGAGAGGAATCGACGTGCTCTTCCTGGGGGCCACACTAGAAGTACTCAGTGATTCAGTGGTGTCATTTTTTTGTCTTTTTTGCTCTTTCTTTCTTTTCTTTTTTTTTAAATCTTTTTGGCATCAGTCACTTGAAAAAATGCTTACTCTATTTATTAAAGTCCAGCTTGAAAATTCCAAGCATCAGGCTTGTTCACTGTTCATTTAATCATGCTTAAACCTCCAAAGGAGTCCTGGGGTGGCGCTGTGGGTTAATGCGCCAGACTGCAAAGCCATTTGAACTGCAAGGTCAGCGGTTCAAGCTCCTCGGAAACCCTGTACAGGGTCGCTATGAGTCGGAACCGACTCAACGGCACTTAACAACAACAACAACAAACCTCTAAAGGAGCCCTGGTGGCACTGTAGGAAAAGCTCTGGATTCTAACCAGAAGGTCGGCAGTTTGAATTTACCAGCTGTTCCACAGGAAAAAAGTAGACTTTCTGCTTCCGTAAAGATTACAAGTCGGAGTCAACTTGATCTCCACAAAAGGTGTATGTTCTTAGTGCCTTGGTTTCTTCCTTTTAAGAACTGTGAATCAGTTACCACCCATAAGCAAAGACTTTATGTCAGCAGTGTTCTAGGTAGAATGGGTATTTAATCTTTATTGCTATCTGACAACTGTTTTATCCCCTGTAATTAGTATTACTCTACACAGACCTAAATATAAATCAGTGTGGCTGGCATTTGCTGGCACCTGACTCTAATTTTGTTCATCACAGAAGGTATAGTGTAGCAGGCTTGCGGGTGGCAGTCGTTTAAGTTGTCCTGGGATAGCCCTTTCCTAGGGGCCATCACCCTGTTGTAGCTGCTTTTAAAATGACTGCTATGTACAGACAAGCACTGGGCCTGGAATTAGTTGTAAAGTCAGACATGAGAAAAGTGAGTCCTGGAGGCCTAAGTGAGGACCACACCCCGAGTCTTTTCACCCTCGATGAATCATTCACTCTACAACAAAGTTACATTTTCATAAATTAATCAACAAATCTAATGAGATGATTCAAGTTAATCACTTAAAGCATCTGACATTAGCTCTTTCATCGTTGTCTTTAATACTATAACTAGTGTTATTATCATTTCCCCCTAAGAAGATGTCTCGGCTTTTTTGCTCACCTCTCTTCCTCTGTCATCCTGTAGCATTTTTACCTTTGCTCCCTTTTGACATTTAAATGCTCATACGTTGTGTTTCCTCTCACTTGTGTTAGGTTGTATGTGTTGTAAGGGCAAGTACCCTATCTCATTCCCTAATGCTCAGAGAACTTCCCTGCACTTGGTGGTGGTGGTGGTTAAGTGGGTTGGTTCTGACTCATAGTGATCCTGTATAGGGTTTCTGAGCAGTAGCTGATGAGTTTGTAGTTTGCAGTCCAGTGCTTATCCTACAGTGTCACAATAGGACTTCATACTTGGTGGTAGTTACATGCTGTCGAGTCAGTTCCAACTCATAGCGACCCTGTGTAGGGCATCCAAGAGGCAACTGGTACTTTGAACTGTTGATCTTGTGGTTAGCAGTCCAGTGCTTATCTAACAGTGACACATCAGCACTGCCCATACTTGGTATGCACCTAATAAATACTTTTGATTTTCAATGTGTTTTACTACTAACTGAGGGAAACTGAGTAGCACAAACAGTTTGCTGTTGACCGCTGACCTAAAGTTTGGTTGTTCAAACACACCAAGAGACTCCATGGAAAGGCCAGGCAAACAGCCAAGAAAACCCTATGGAGCAGTTCTGTTCTATAACACACAGGGGTCACCATGAGCCAGAAACCAACTCGATGGCAACTAATAACCACTAACTAGCTTTGGGAACTCGCTAGACCTTTGTCTCCATCTATAAAAGGAGAAGGCTGAGATACACTGGCCTGTTTGTCATTTATAATTCCTGCTGAGGTACTTATCTTTTCTTGTTTGTCGTAGGGAATTAAGTTTACTCATACTTTTATTATTATTATTTTGCCCAAACAGTACAGAGCAACTGATTTTGTTGTTCCTGGGCCTGGAAAAGTAGAGATAACCTACACACCAAGTGATGGAACACAAAAGGTGACATATTTGGTACACAATTTTGAAGGTAATGAGCCCTCATGAACCACATGTTTATGTTTTTACAGATCATTTGATGACATGGTTACTGGTGTTCTAAAGTAGTTGTATGCCTGAAAGTGCAATCTCTATCTGTAACATTTGTGTAGGGCCCCAAACCTAACTTAAATAGTACATACCTTCCATGGAACAAATAAAAAGCACAAAAGGGATTCGCTTCTTAATCGGAAATGTCTCTGGGGAAAGACAAGTAGGTATTTATCCATTTACCTTAAAGCAAGGAGAGAAGATTGCTGGGAATCTCTTGTGTTCAAATTTTATAAAATCAATATGAGTAGGCCCAATGCACCCATGCACCCTTCATGTAATCCTCCTTCCCTTGCAAGAAATATTTGTGTTATGTATTTGCTGAAGTTTTCTTCTTGTCCTTTTGAGTATTTATTCTTTGAGAGTAGAACATTTGCTTTTTGCTTTTTCTTCCCAGCTATTCATACCCTGCATGAAAAGCTATGGAAAAACCTACCCAGACATTGTTGAAAGAATCAGAGAGCCCTGTTTCTCCATTATTAAAGTTCTCAAAAACCCTCACACACACCCACACCCACATCACCTAATTTTTGTTTTCCCAGACTCCTCCAAATAATATCATTTTAAAAGAATCTAGTTCAACCAGTTTCAAGGCCTTTTGCTTTCTGAGATCAAGTTAGCCTTGGGTGAGGGCATGAATTCAAGGTCTGTAGTAACAGAGTTCACCAACTGGCATTGTGAAATGCCAGTGATTACATGTAGCATAAGTATTTCGTTTCTACTAATTATAATAGGAACTTTCAGTACCCTCCAGGAAATTAAGACAGTATTTATTCAGTATTTGAAACTCAAAGTATTCTCAATGACTGAAGACAGAGTGCATACTTAAAGTTTAAAATGCATGTGGGAAGTTTAAAAAAGTATGTAAAGGATATTTTTTGAAGTAGTCACCCTTTCTTGAGTGTAATTTCTGATTTGTGTCATTAGTCTGTGATATTCAGTATCTTCAGGGTCCTAAAGACCATGTGTTTCTTTCATTTCTATTCTATTCTAGCTTATACATAAGTTAGAATGTTTTTATCTCAAAATAGTTTTCTTAGGGAACTCATGGAATTCCAAGTTGAAAGACTGACTGAGGCTTTTAGAAGCCTTGTCTGCAACATGGGAACTGTGAATTGAGTTTTTTGGTGATAGTGGAATGGCTTCAGTGTTGTTAAAAAACTATGTCCCGTTTATCTTTCCCCCTTTTTCTCTCCTCTATTTCTTCCACAGATGGAGGTGGTGTTGCTATGGGGATGTACAATGAAGATAAGTCAATCAAAGATTTTGCACATAGTTCTTTCCAGATGGCTCTGACTAAGGGTTGGCCTTTGTATCTGAGCACCAAAAACACTATTCTGAAGAAATATGATGGGCGTTTCAAAGACATCTTTCAGGAGATATATGACAAGTAACTGAATTTTTTTTTTCCGTTTTCTCAAGTAAACTGGTATTAAGAAGCCCTGGTGGCACTGTGGATTAAATGTTGGTCTGTTAACTACAAGGTTGGTGGATCAAACCCACCAGCTGATAGAAAGATGAGGCTGTTTTCTCTCGTATAGTCTGGAAGTCCTATAGGGTCGCTATGAGTCTGAATCAACTTGATGTCAGTGTGTTTGGTTTTGGGTTTAAGCTGGTATGTGTGGTCCAGAAACTGCATTCATATACCTTTGATTCTGGGACAAAGCAAGTGAAAGCCATCACTCATTCATAGATGAGTGCAAAACTGAGCTTTAACAGGAGTGAACAAGAATCACTCTGAGTTGCTTTTAGACGATAAACATGTTCTCATACAAGGGCCCTCCATTTACTTTTCAGAGACCGGATTGCTTAATTTTTAAATAAAGGTCACATGCTGGTGTAGAAAGTTCCAGTTTTTCAAGTATGTGAGTTACTTAGTTAAGACTATTTTCACTTTTTCTGAAACCTGTTGTTTTGCTTTGATTTTGAAAGTCTCTTAAACCTGAGTCTATGTTTACAACACCTTTGGATTGAATGATAAGTGGTCATGTTCACTTCAAGCTCTTTTATAGTATAAAACTTCAGGCCAAGGCTCAGATTTTAGATGAAATATCCTTTCTGAGACATTGTGACCTCTCTTTTCAATACTTACCAATACCAAGTCTAGAAATTGTCCTCAAATACACCTTTTCTGGAATGACATCAAGCAGCAGGATAGTCATTTTTCCCCGTGATAGTCTTGTTTTTGTTTTAAGTACAGTTCCCATTTTATGTTTTTGCAGCTTAGTTTTTCTTCAGCTGTTACGGGCTCAAATCTGTACATGGGCTTTGGTGGAGATCGTGGGGCAGCACCTGCAGGTCTAAATCAGGGTGAGGGTGTTCAGTTCTTTCAGGCTTCACGAGAACGGTTCCTGCCCACCTTGCTGTGAATGGCACAGCTCACACAATGATGTGGTTTCACGTACAGCTTGGGAAGCACACATGCACTGAAGACACTTGCTTTGGAAATCTCCCTGAGGACTTTGACCTGTACTGTGTTTCCAATTACAAACTTATTAATGGCTTAGTCTTTGGACATGCAGCAGGCTGCACATAGCCATTGTTTCTCCTTTTCTTTGTCATCTTGGAAGGTGATTTCAAACTTCTCATCGGTAGTGTATAAAAAATCATGAAAAGTAGCAGCTGAGACACCCCACTCACTGCCTCACCTCTTTCTCACATTTTTACATCAGGGTAGGTGGAATTGCCCTTACAGGTAGGAAATTGGGGTTGAATGGCTAGAAAATTAAAGGTTTGAGCCCTTGACTGTTAGATTCTCAAGTTGATGCTACTTCTAAACATGCTTCTTCTGTCCTCTCTTCTAGAGCAATAGACAATGCCTCTAACAAAACCAATGTCATATTTTTTTTCTTTTAGGCAGTACAAATCCCAATTTGAAGCCCAAAAGATCTGGTACGAACATAGGCTCATCGATGACATGGTGGCCCAAGCCATGAAATCAGAGGGCGGCTTCATCTGGGCCTGTAAGAACTATGATGGTGATGTACAGTCAGACTCCGTGGCCCAAGGTAAGGAGCCAGGGACCATGTAGAGGGGAAGCTCGGCCTACCGCAGAAGAAGCCATTCCATCCTACCTCTTTCAGTGTGGTGTAGTCCTTTGTAAAATCAATCCTGTAGTGCTTACGCTATAAAGCCTATCTTCTCATCCGATGTTGTTGACAGAGACCCTCTGCACAACAGGACAAAACACTGCCTGGTCCTTCACCCTTCTCACAATTGCTGTCATTTTGATGGAATTGTTGGTATGCCCTGACAAGAAAAGTCAGTAAGCTCAGACTCAAGAAGTGACTTCACTCAGTCTCACACGGGAAGTTACTGCGTAGGTTGAAAATCTTGGCCTTAGTTTATGAAATTTGTAAAGTTTAACCTGTCTCCCACTTGAAGTATCAAAACTCCCATTGGGTAGTATAAGTACCTAATCCAAAAATCTAAAGACCATATCAGGGGAAGGGGCAAACACCAGAAACTCCTCGTCTTGGTTTTCTCAGCACCGAGCTGCCCTTCAATTTCACTTACCCCTGGAAACTGTATAAATGCAATTCTCCTCTGATGAATGTTTGTTTTAATGTTTGTGTTAGCTTTTCCCAAGGAAATACGTCTCTTTTTTTCTCTTATGAAAGTTAAACCTCTCTTATCAATGTGAAAATCAGTAGACCAACCCAGTGAAGATAACTTTTATGTCAGATAAATGCATTAGAAGAATCTCTTTGCCTTCATTCTGTTTCTCCTAATCCTTATGATCATTTGTGCTGTATGCAATAGAGAAAGGAGAATTGTTTTGTGTAGGGCTCCATGGTGGATTTGGAAGGTTATTCCTTGTAATTAGGACTTTTGGAAAAAGATCTAAAACCTTCCCATTGTTTCTAAATGTCCTCATAGCAACAAGAAGAGAGTATCTGAACGATACGTTCTATGAAATAGTTCATTATATGATTTGGATATTGTGCAAAGACTGTATGATATTCGGCAGTCCTTGTAAAAAATACTAAAACTTTTTGGGAGCCCAAACAAAGTTGGAAATCTGTATCCACTGGGTATAAGAGACTAGCCGTCCTATGGCTGGGACTTTGCTTGCATGCAGGGGGTCAGGGGAGGTGGTTCAGGGGATGGTCACTGGGAGCAGTGGTTGGAGGGCCCATGGCCGGTGGTGGAGGCCCTGTGGGGTCTGCTGTTTTCTGATGTTCTGCAGCTGCTAGAGGCAGGAGGCTGTGTCTGCTGAAGCTGGGCAGCTGCTGAGCCTGTGAACAAAGCCAAGAGGAGGCGCTGTGGGGATTGGAATGCGCTCAGTGTAGTCCTACTGCTCCTCCACTCTGAGCGTTTGAAGTCTTTACAACTACTGTTGTTAAGGCCATCGAGTTGGTTCCACTCAGAGTGTCCCTGTATAGAGTTTCTGGGGAGCGGCTGGTGGGTTTAAACCACTACCTTGCAGTTCAAATGGACCTTGCGGTCCAGTGCTTATCCTATAGTGCCATACTGGGACTTATCTGAGAGTTATCTACATGGCAGAGTAGTGCAACATGTCCATATGCAGGGTACTAGCTACTTGGTGGTGGTGGTGGTTGTGTGCTGTGGAGTTAGTTCTGACTCATAGCAACCCTACATAGGGTTTCTGAGGCTGTAAATCTTTACAGAGCAGAAAACCTCATCTTTCTCCCACGGAACAGCTGGTAGTTTTGAACTGTTGACCATGAGACTTAGCAGTCCAATTGATAACCACGATGCACCAGGACTCCTTAGGGAGAAATAATAAAATAACTGCTTTCCATTTAAAAAAAAAAAAAAAAAGAAGGATATTAGGCAACACATACCTGTATTTCAAATAAAAATATTGAGTTGTGGGTGTTCAAAGGACTTGGAATTAGCAGTTCTTTAGTGCTGTGTCCAATAGTGCACTGATAAGAGACAGAGACTAGATTCTGTGACTAGAAAGCCTGCAGACCCGTGTGACCCGCGACCCACAGCATCTAAAACGATGAAAGGCAGCAGAGCTGTCTTTATGCTCTGTCAGCTCTGGTCTCACACCAAATAATACATCTGTGTCCTTCGCTGTGACAGTGTTACCAACCAGTGTCTTTTGATATTAAGAGAAGACCTATGGGCCTGGTTCTGAAGTTCTGCCATCAGTACATATTTATCTGAGTGTTTACTAAAACCTCAGACCAACATAGTGGTGTAAGGAACAGGAATCCTGGTGTGGTGCGGTGGGTTAATGTGCTGGACTGCAAGGTCGGTTTGAACCACAAGCTCAGCGGTTACAGTTTACCAGTAGCTCCTCAGAAACCCTATACAGGGTCACTATGGGTCAGAATTGATGCAATGGCACTAAACAACAACAATCTCACACAGAAATGTTAAACTTCCCAAAGATAAGTTTTTAAAAAATTCTTGTTAATGTAATTATTCAAAGATAATAGAGTTGATCTCAGACTCCTCCCCTTCACTCCCCGCCCGCCCCCCCCCCAAAAAAAAGGTAGCAGTTTATTCTGGATTGCTGTATTAATTACACAGGTGTTATTGGGAAATAGCAAAAATGGGAGCAGGGAGAAAGGAATTCCAAATTCAAGGGCAAAATAATGAATAAAGAAGAAAAATCAATTGTATGAAGTTAAAAGTCATAATGTGGTCCCTGAATAGGAAATCACAGAACAGAATTGTTTTGCTGGGAGTGTTAAACAGAGTGAGGAAGGGCAGGTGGGATGTTCTGGGACCCATATCCTTCTGGTTTTACTTGCCCTTTTTTCCTAATGAGACTGAGTAGCTTGAGTGCAGAAAACAGCTTGTTTTGATCTTTATTTCCCCTGAACAGCAGAGCCTTAGTACATGAAAACAGAAATAATACATTAAGCTCTTTCTCTATAGCAGGTACTAGTCTAAAAAAACACCATACAAACCAAACCCACTGCCATCAAGTGGATTCTGTCTCCTAGTGGCCCTTGTGGGACTGACTGAAATGATCCCATAGGCTTTCTAGGGTTGTAAATGTTTATGGAAGAAGACTGCCACATCCTTCTCCTACGAAGAGGCTGATAGGTTCAAACCATTAACTTTTTGTTTAGCAGCTCAATGCTTAACCTGCTGTACCAATATATATTCCTTTCATATAGATTCATGAGCATGTTGTTGTTGTTAAGTGTTGTCGAGTCGGTTCCGACCCATAGCGACCCTGTATAGACCCTGTAAATCTTTACGGGAGCAGAAAGCCTCATCTGTCTCCCGTGGAGCAGTTAGTAGTTTTGCACTGCTGACCTTAAGGTTCGCAGTCTGATTCGTAACCACTACACTACCAGAGCTCCTTTGATTCATGAGCATATGCATATTTATTTATATGCATATTTAAAACAACAGAGTGACATGGGTTCTTTTACTACCTCCATTTTGCAGGTAAGAAATCTGAGGCAGGTGGAATGCAGGTAGTCAGACCCTAGCCTCTCCATCAGGGAGTGGGCAGGTGCCTCTGAGATCATGCTTTTCCAAACCCTTCAGAAAAGTGGTCCTGCTTCAGAAAAGCAGAAGTAGGGATGAATCCATGTGCCCGTGTCTGTTTTGTTTATGAAGACCAGCCATTTGCTCTTGTCTCTGAGAGACCCAGTGGTCTTCAAGCAGTTGAAACCAATACCTCATGCTCTGCCACTTACAGGTTATGGCTCCCTGGGTATGATGACCAGTGTGCTGATTTGTCCAGACGGTAAGACGGTAGAAGCAGAGGCTGCCCACGGGACTGTGACACGTCACTACCGCATGTACCAGAAAGGACAGGAGACATCCACCAATCCCATTGGTAAGATGGTGTTGACGTCTACATGGATTTCTGATCAGTGACTGACACTCTCCAAAGGGACTCGGATGGGTTCCTTTGGCTGCTCAGTACCTGGGGACAAAACCATCACCAAGTAGCTGATTTGTTCTTTTAAATATAACCATTTTAATGTACTTCTTGAAATAAATATTCTTCTGTTTTGTGGGAGAATATTTTTGACAGAGAAGAATGTTATTCATAAGCATTTTCCTTTTCCTCTGGTGCAGCGAAATATCACACAGGCTAAGAATTAAAAGCCACATTGACCCTTTCAGCGAGTTTTCAAGACCCACCCTCTAAAAAGATCACAGCCTGAAAGAGGAGGCCAGTACAGGCTAGACATAGAAGAGAGTGTGACTTGTTCCAAATTAAAAAATGCTTTATGGCCCAAGTATTAGTACTACACCCATGAAAATGTACTTTTTAAAGCTCTAACACCCAGATGTTTTTTTGTTTTATAAAAATGCACGTTATCTAAAGTCTACATTTGGTAAAATATTGCCAGCACTCCTAACATGACTAGGTGGTGTAGATAGCATCTAATGGTCAGTCACCTAAACAAAAAGCTCTCCTGTTTTTCCATACGGAACTATTTGAGCATCTCTGTGGCTGGCATGACTGAGGTGTACCCGTTTTCCTTCTCTCTTTTAGCTTCCATCTTCGCCTGGACCAGAGGGTTGGCCCACAGAGCTAAGCTTGATAACAACAAAGAACTCAGTTTCTTTGCAAAAGCTTTGGAAGATGTCTGTGTTGAGACCATTGAGGCAGGCTTCATGACCAAGGACTTGGCTGCTTGCATTAAAGGTTTACCCAAGTAAGTATAAACTGCCTTAAACTCTGGTCAAATCACAGCTTATCGTCAATGGACTCAAAACATCAATGTATTTTAGAACTATATGAATTGTGGTTCATCAGAAAGTTTGGGGATCAGCAAACACTGTCTATAAATTGTCAGGTAGTAAATATTTCCTGCTCTGTGGTCTTTATTACAACCACTGAATTCTATCTCTGCCGTTGTAATGAATGAGCGTGGCAGTGTTCCAATAAAACTTTATATACAAAACATACAAAGCCAGAGTACAGGATAGATTTGGCCTACACCTTAGGTTGCTGACCCTTGGTTTAGTTGGATGACAAGGTTCTGAAAATAACAGACAGTTAGAAACAAAAGGACTTCAGCAGCTATTTTATTTCATCTCTATTTAAAGTAAGCAGTGCATGTAAGTATCAGATGTCCATCTGACTTGGATCCTACCATAAGTGTCTGTAACGGTCAGTCAAATCTTGCACAGGATTTTTCTGAGACTCCGGTAGCCAATGTCCCAGCTGTTGTTGTTGTCAGGTGCCATCGAGTCAGAACCGACTCATAGCGACCCCATGCACAGCAGAACGAAACAATGTCTGTTCCTGGGCCAACCTCACTACCACTGTCACACTTGAGTCCATCAATGATGCCACCTGGCCAATCCATCTCGTTAGGGGTCTTCCTCTTTTTCTCTGACCCTCCACCTTACCCAGCATGACATCCTTCTCCAGCAACTGTTCCTTCCGGACAATATGTCCAAAGCATGAGAGATGAAGCTTAGCCATCTTGGCCTCCAAGGAGCACTCTGGCTGAACTTCTTGCAAAACAGATCTATTGGTTCTTTTGGCAGTCCATGGCACTTTCAGTATTCTCCTCCAACACCACAACTCAAAGGCATCAATTCTTCTATGATCTTCCTTATTCACTGTCCAGCTTTCGCATCCATATGAGGTTATTGAAAATACCATGGCTTGGGTCAGGCGCACCTTAGTCCTCAAGCTGACATCTCTGCTCTTTATTAGCTGCTAATCAGAAACTTCTCCCCAACACCAGAGATAGTTTTGATGCTCATCTCAAGAAACACTAAAATGTAACAGAAATAACCATATCCCCTCTGGTGTGTCCTCAAAGCTCTGTTAGGGTTGGTATACACCAGTAACAGGATAAATTCAATCACTACATCTTTTGTATCTTAAATTCAAAGGAAGAATGCTTTTTAAATATTCATATCAGTATGGTGGCTTTGTACTGTATTTGAATAGTCACCTAACAATAGGAGTATGCCAGTCCATTGTCTTTGAGTTTTCTTAGGACATTGATAGAAATGTTGTGGTTGTTGTACAGCATCAACTTGGTTACAACTTATAGTGACCCTGTATAGGGTTTCCAAGGAGCAGCTGGTGAACTTGAACCACCGACCTTACAGTTCAAACCGACCTTACAGCCGAGCACATTAACCCACAGCACCACACCAGGACTCCTTGATAGAAATAACAGGATGACATTATTTTAAAGGACAAGTACAGTTTGTTGGAATTTGGATAAAGGTGTGGCTGTACCTCACGTAGTCTTTCTAATGGTTAAGAATGAAGAACAAGAAGTAGGATGGCTTCCATCCCAAGCATCAATCTAAACTCAAGCTCTGTGATCATTTCACTCTCAAAGCTACATGATTAGAAACCGAGTGTAAATGTGCATGTGAACGAATGAACAAAATGGCACCATAGCCTATTCTAGAACCCAAGTCATGAGACTGGGTCAGCCTCAAACCTTGAGTAGCACAGGTTGAAGATTTGTAGCTTGCTAACCTTAAACAAGAAGCTCTGGTGACGCAGTGGTTAAACACGTAGCTGCCAATTGAAAGGTCAGTGGTAAAACCCACCTGCAGCTCCATGGAAGAAAAATGTGACCGTCTGTCTCCATAAAAATTACAGCCCTAGAAACCCTATGGGGCACTTCCTCTCTGCCCTGTAAAGTCATTATGAATCAGAATTGACTTACTGACAACAGGTCTTTTTTTTCTCCCCCAGAAAAAAGAGAACTTCAGAAAGTTTGTGGGAAAATATCATTATCTTTTAATTCCATTTAACTACATACCTTTTTTTAAAAAAAGTTTTTATTGTGATTTGAATGATTGTTTACATGGAAGAACATCAGTTTTACACTCATCCTATCGTATTTCATTTCATTGCAATGATTACGATCCCCTCCATGCATCATCATTGAACAGTATTTGCTTCTATTCCCTCTGTTTGTCTGGGGGGTTTTTGGATGTACACAGAAATACTCAGGAATATATAATCATTTACACAACCAAAGGGCTCATTCTACAAGCCTGCCTCCTGGCCGCCAGCACACAGACTTTCTCTTTCCATGAGTCTGGAGTCCTCATCTCTGCCTCCATCTGCTGTTGGTGCTTCTCTGGATAGGGTCCCACATTCCACTTGTGCTCTTCTCCTTTGATGGTCCTAGGGTCCTCTGTTCCTGGACTGTAAGATTATCTACTCCCCACTTTGTTCTAAAACTTTACCACATACTTTTTGAAGCCACCTCATAAATACAACATTATATTAAGCCTAATTTCTGGGACTTTTCCTTTACCTGATACCAGATCAAGGCGCCCAGCTGGTGCTGTGGGTTAGGCACTAAGCTGTTAACTGAAGGAGCAGTGATTCACACGCACCTGCTAAGGGAAAAAGATGAGGCTCTCTGCTCCAGAAAAGATTTACAGTCTTGGAAACCCTATGTGGAGTCGCAATGAGTCAGAATTGACTCCATAGCAGTGGGTGGTTTTAGGGGAGCAGGGCTAGATGCTACCAGATCAGCAACAAACTGAATTTCCTGTTTTCTCTCTCTCTCTTTTGTATTTAGTGTACAACGGTCTGACTATCTGAATACTTTTGAGTTCATGGACAAACTTGGAGAAAACTTGAAGATAAAACTAGCTCAGGCCAAACTTTAAGATCATCACTCGACTTAGGAGCCTAAGATTTTCTTTGGTAACTAAGTCCATTGGTTTACATTTTTCTGTATAACACTCAAGGGTAAAGACAAAATCAGCTTTGTAATTTGCTTAGAAACCAGAAGTTTATCTTTTCTATACGTTTACAGTCTTTTTCTTATACCGACAGCGATTGCCACTTTCATGAATGTGGCCAGAGACTTTGTGTTACTTTATTTTCTAAAAATTACCTTACTACTCATTTGTACTTACTTTTTCTGGGTTGCAAAATAAATGACCAAAACTAAGAGTGCTTGAAAGGATAAACCAGAGCCACCATATTGTTTTCTTACAAATTTGCATCCATGGTTTTGGTGATTACAGATGCCCCAATTTTGTAAGATGGAACTGTACGTTGAACTTGTGCATGTTTTGGAACAAAAAGAGTGAATGGGAAAAAAAAAAAAGTATGGCATTTTTGTAAAGAACTCCTTTTGAATGTTGTAAGATGATGCTACATATTTTGAAGGGCACATGAGAATTTGTAATCCAGAATCAAAACTACCTGGAGGTTTGTCCTCTGTTTGCCTTTCCTCCCTTTGTCCTGTGTGGCCTGAATATTCTACTCTAAATTCAACCAGTCATACAAAGCAAAATCAAAACAGACCTGAATTCTAAAAACTGAGGTGAGACAGAGCAAAAACCAGAATGGAAAAACTTATGGGTTAAAGATCTGGAATAGGTGATATGGAAGGGGCACAGTGAGCCCTTTCAGGAGCCTAATGCAGGAGATTGGATTGTTGCTAGGACTGTAGAACATGACAACCATTCAGAATGGCACAGTCGACACCATCTTTGAAAGGGGCACTGTTTCCATCTCTGCTGATCAAGACATATTTGGCCACCATCTTTGAACAGGGCACTGTTCCCAATGCTACTGGTCCAGAGATATTTGACCACCATCTATGAGCATAGTACTGTTGTTTCTAACTCTTGGGGTCAAGTGATTTGGTTGCTGTACAGTACACACACTGCCCTTATTTTCTAAAAGGGAAATTACATTTCTAGCAGGGCATCCACCACGGAGTTTTCTGCTCTAGTTATCATTCTGGTTTACCCACATTTTACAAATTTGGGTTTAGTCTGGTTTCCCTTTGTTGGCCATGACTGAGCCAGGAAGAACCAGTTCAAAGTTCTGTCCTAAGTCCATTTTTTTTTTTATCCAAGTGCAATAATACAAACTGTATCTTTTGTGGACTTCCACTTGTCTATTTTCTTTCTTTTATATAAATGTGATTTTTCAGAAGTTAATATTCAACACTATTATAGTCATGTTCCACCCTGAACTGTTAATTTTAAATAAAATTAAATACTAATGAC